TGTTCCATTTCTTAATACTAAGCAGCTTCAAGGCTCAATCCTGAACATGAGAGAGAACATGAAGGCCAAACCCACACAGTCCCAGGGTTCAGAATTCCACAGATCCAGGGTTCAAGAAGTCAGGAGTACAAAAGCTGAAACCATAACAGTGGGATCTCATGCTCTGCTCCTCAAAATATATTCTTGTCAGCACCACTACTGATATTAAAAGACAATTACATTGAGTGGTTTCCAGACCCAGGAAGCATATTGAACATTTAAGTTGTATCAGTAATGATTTTTCTTTTTCTCTCAATCTTATTTGAATCAATATGATCAGTTGGAGGACAGGCTGTGAGGAGGAGGAAAATATATACACTTAAAAATGCAAACTGACACGTTACTAGAAGAATGACATAATTCTGACTTCATATGTTGACTTCTTCTCACCCAAACATAGGTGATTATGTTGAGGTAGTCCCTCTTGATTCTCTTTGTTTTTAATGAAGAGGAATAAACACTTTCATGGGTTGAATCATGTCATCCTAATGTAGATGTCAAAAGTAAGTTAGATTAACTACTCCCTGAAAATGCTTATTTTTTTCAATTGATTATAAAGGAAGCCCAAGGGAAGAAGCTCAGAAACAGGTATCTCCACTGTAGTGTTCTGAGAGAAGAATTCCACCCCAGGAGACAGCTGTCTACCCCAGAGGACAGGAATAATAGGGGAGGAATAAAGGAGAAAAAGAGAATTGATGTGGCCAAGGAGATGAAGAATAAGTGAAACCAGAGTATAGCAACGGAGGAAACATACCATTAGCTATATTACAGAGATGTGGAGTAAAGGTTATGGGAAGGGACATAGCATGGAAAAAGACTACTAGACTTGGTTATATTGCCCAACATGTTTATTTAGGAGACAGACAAATACTTTGTTACAATTCTATGTGCAGGAATGTTTTCTGTTGTACAGATGTACATACGAAGAGTATTGTCCATCTCTATAGCCATGCTCAAATTAGGTAGAAGCAAACATAAAACACAGCCATGTTCTTACAGGTAAAACAGAAAAAAAAAACAAACCCCAAACGATGAATTTTGACATATTTTGTGTTGCAACAACACATTGCCAAGGGAAATCAGGGTCTCATCCTGCTGTGTTAGCTGTTAGACATAGAAAGGAAAATAGTGAATAGAGTGAAAAGTCTTGATGCAATGCACTAAAAAGATCAGTTTCTGCATTCTTTGGCAGTGCACAAAGGTTAACATTAAGCCTTCTGATTAATGTTAAAGGATCTCAAGTCCTCACTGGTTTTTAAAATTATATTGAGTTAACGTGACTAATTTTCACCTCTCACCTGATTTTATCCTAGCTTTAAGGCAAATGAAATACAAATAGTTTCCTTTATCTCCCACTTGTGGGAGATGCCCCACTTTCTGAAAAGCGTCCTACCTAGCTCTTACCCCAGCCCTTAATGTTATGCTTATAGGTATGGCTATACAAATGTATCCTAAAAAAATCTTAAAAGCATCTAGTGGTTTTGATTGACTTGATGCACCTTCAGGATACTTGATCATCCAGCACTGGTTGTTGAGTACATGTAAACTTCAGCACTTCAAAAGTTTAGCACTTTAAAAGCTGTCTTCAACTGGGCATACTCATTTGAAGACACCCAAAATCAATAGTTGCTTTTGAAAATTCATACCACATTTGACATTTCAAATAGAAAGATGGGCAAATTTATTTTATCATTTAGATATATAAAGTTTTATTTAATTTTATAGTGCTGGACAAAGTTACTCACCTCCCAGAATAGAAATTATGAAATCATTAATTTCTGTAAATTGAATTATTTTTAGAGATCAGAAAATTGCTCAGCCTCTCACAGAAAGACTGGGTGCAGTTGTGCAAGAGGACAAGCATGTTGATTCATACCAGTTAGGCTATGCATTACTTGGAAGAACCTTCACAAATCTTCCCCTCCCCCTCCAAAAAACAAATTTAGACATGGGAAAGAAGATTCTGTATGCTATGAAACAATCCTTCCATTGGAAGGCTGGCAAAATTCCCACTGTTTGAGGAGTGAATGAGCACTCTTTAAAAGCACTAATCCTACCAATTCTCTTCTGCTGGGTTTAATACTTACCAGCATAAAGGCTAATGGGTTATTCTATTTCACTCCATTCTTGTGCCTCTCATTATATAACAGCATTAAAATAGATTTACTTCTGATCGGGCTTTAATATTAAGGAGAGTGATGCATAATTACATTGTTTGCAATTATCAGATTTCTCTGTAAAGCTTACCTCAGAATAGTGTCGATAAATCCTGGAAACATCCAAAGAAAGCCCTGTTTTGCTTTCTTAAGGGAAAACTACTGCTTGTACTAGAGAAGTGGGCAGAGCTGCTTAATTTATTCCTTGTACACCTGTGGCTTATTTGAAGTCCCAAACTCTCATCCAAGAAAATCTCTCACTAGCTTCTTCAAGGAGAACTGAGTGTTCGTGGTGCTACAGCTCTACAGCTCTTCCTTTTTTCTTTAGTCATCTGGACCATTCCACTAGCTTCATCTTGTTCCTCTCTGACACCCCTTATTACAAGTCTCACTTCTTTCATGCCATAGTTCCTCATTATTTCACTTTCTACCACATCCACTCCTCCTATGAGTACAAACATGTTGTTTCTGGTTTGCTCAGAAAAGAATCTCTGTAAGTCTACCTCCCTGTCCATCCTCTTTATCCTTATCAGAGGCTAAAGGCTCCCAAATGCTACCTTGGCTCCCCACCACCTCCCTATTCCCTCCTTCATTCTACCCACATCAGTTTACACTCCTCTCCCACGCTGATCCCTTATGAAATTTTCTTATGAAAAATACTTCTGTGGACATTTACCAAACTGTCCTTTCAAGCTTCATCCCCAAGAGCCATCTCTCCCTGATGCAAAACTAAGAACTGGCAATTTAAATAGTATTTAAGTCTAGGAAGATTATTCAGAAGGACCTCCTGCTATCCTTCACGGTCCTTATCAAAGATGAAGAGATCCTAGGGTCAGTGCCAGCACATTAAGGATGTTCCTAGCAGGAGATCAATTAATAGATATTTCAATTAGGCAAGACCACCACGTGTTATTTCAACAGCCTTTAGGACACCACAGAGCACTTTGATCGGCATCCTGAAACATACACTTTGAGGCATTACTCCTCCAGTCCAAATTCTCCCCTCTGCTGCCGTTTGAGCCAAGGAAACGGCTCAGATAAGAGCCCCACTCCGCCTCCCTTTTCTCCTTGGCAGAATTTGCTTCCTCAGGCAGATCGCGCTCTCCAGCGAGAGCCGATTCCCTTGGCGATCGCCTCCGAAGCCCAGCAGCGAATCCCTCCGGGAACCCGCCATCCCCCTGCCGGGAGGCGGGAGGCCCTGATAACCCACACGGGTCCCGAAAGACGGAGGTCCCCCCCATCCCGCTGTGCCCGGCGGAGCTGAAGGCTCCGGCTCCCGCGTGTGCCGCTTTCCCCAGCTCGAACCTAGAAAGGCTTTACCGGCCCTTGTAGGGATCTCCTGCTCTCGTTAGCGCCTTGGTCCCTGGAATGTGCAGCCCAGGCACAAGCCAGAGGACTGTGCCCCTCACCGCTCCTTCCCCGTTTCTCCCCGGATTCCACTCGTAGCTCCCTCAAGCTGGTAGTTGCTCCGTGGGGTGCGATCGCTAACCCCCACGGATTTGTGACCCGCTGGCATCCCTGGCGTGCAGCGAGGCTTCTAATGACTAGGGGGAAGAAGTCCCATCCCTCTATAGACTGCTTCTGTTCCCAAGTATGATTTAATTTAAAACAAGGCGAAAGAGTGCCATCTGCTAACTGTCAGTTAGCTGGAGCTAGTCACTGCACGGGAAACACGAAAGCACTCGGGAAGCGACACACGCACACACAAAACCCCAACCCAAAATAAACAGGCAAACAAGAATCACCAGGGAAAGCCAAGTTCTCCTCCCTCCCCTCCTGGGAGGAAGCAGCCCGCTGCCTTCGGGTGCGGAGCTGTGCCGGTACTGCTCGGAGCCCACTGGCTTCAAGCTCAGGGGACATTGCATGAGATTACTCTCATCTCTCAGCAAAGTTTGTTACCCCGACCTGCATGCGTGTCGCAAAGCAGTGGCGTTCAGGATAGGAAGCAGCAGCAGCAGCTTCGGGAACTGCTTGGTGCTATGAGGACCTTAGTAGATACACCACTATTTCGAGAATAGCACATTACACTGAAGCGGTACCCAGCACCGGCCGAGCTCGGGGACGCGGGCAGTACCCGCCGAGCTGCGTGCATCAGATAAGAGCCAGCGGCATCAGCGGGACGGGGCGAGAGGGGAAAGCATCCCATGGGGCGGGACAGCCGGGAAGCGGAGCATAGGCTGACAGGGAGGCAGATCCGAGAAGATGGTGCTGACTACAGAGTTTTGCAGCTTGACGCACGTGTAACCAGCCCAGCAAAGACGAGAAGGGAAAGCAAATAAGTTTAGCAACTAAAAAAAGCAGAGCCACATTGCAGCACACAAATAAAAACTAAAGACACGGTTCAAGGGAAACACCCCCTTTATTTGCTGCTTTCTGGTTGAAGGATATTCGGTGAGGAATAAGGACAATTTTGTCAAAGACTATCGTAAACTCCGATGAAGAGCGGGCTGCGCCACTTTCCCACACAATCACAGCATCTTCAGAAGTACCTTAAGTTTTAAAGTTCCTTCTTTCTTCCTCCGACCGTTCTCTTTGTCTCCGGGACTCTTACCGGATTGCACAGATTCCCCTCATCAGTAGCTCCATAGATACTCCCGGTGGCTCGTTAAGAGCCATTAGCGACCTGCACTCCCCATTCAAGGGCTGGGGCAGGGCAGAGGAGCAGCGTGCTAGGAAGCACCCTAAGGGCTGAGCGCTCGGAGCGCCCGCACCCACAGCGGGGCACACTCCGACGGGGCCAGCCTCCTGATGCGGGGCTCAGGACGCTCTTTACCGCTCAGGTGCGGGGCTCGGGCCCTTCCTTACCTGCGTTCCGGAGCTTGCGGTTCTTGAAGACAGAGACGATGACCAGCAGGTTGCCCAGGATGTCCACCACGGTGGTGAAGATCAGCACGCTGGAGAGCGCCGTCACCACCCAGGCCGGCCGCGGGGCTCCCCCCGCCGCCTCCTCCCCCCGCTCCGCCAAGCCGAAGCGGGCTCTCCCGCCCGGGTCGCAGCAGTTCCTCAGGGACCCATTCTCCAGCATCGCCGGTTCCCGCTCCCGGCGCGGCCGCCCCGCTGACTGGGCGCGCGGTGAGGCGGGAACGCTTTTAACGGCCGCGCCGAGAGCGCTGCCCCTCCCGCTCCCCCGCGGGGCTGTGGGCGGGGCTAGCACCGCGCCCCCCCCCCCCCCCGTGGCGGTATGGGAGAGCCCAGGGGCGGGCACTGCACTTGGCCTTGGCCCCGCCTCTCCGGTCCCCGGTGTCGGTTGGCGGGAGCGGAGCCCCTCACGGTGAAGGGGGGGCCTGGCCGGCGGGAGGTGCTGGGGCCCGGACCAGGGGTGACGGCGGCCGCGGTGCTGGGTGATCCCCGGTGGCGGCGGGAGAGCCGCGGAGAGCGGCGAAAGGCCGGGCGGGGGCAGCGGCGGCGGCGTCCTTCTCCTTCAGTGCTGCTCCTCGTAGCTTCCCGCCTCCCTTCCCGCCTTCAGACGGTCTGGGCGTCCAGAAGGGTTCTTCTGATTCGTTTCTGCCTTTAGTCCGTGCGATAGACAGGAAAAGGTTTGAAGGTCTCACGCTTACATTGCCGTGGTCTTGTGCTTGGCGATTGAACAAAACGTCCTGTCAGATCCAGACTAAGGACAACCCCTGCAGGGAGGTAACTGGAAAAGTCACGGGCAGGGCACGCTCCGAATGGATGTCAGCTTTGAAAACGTGTTTCAGAGGTTTCTCCTTTCCAGCTGCAGGAGCATCGATAGTCTTCTCTCTGGAATTAAGTTTGAAACACACAGCTTCATTTGGGATCACAAAGTGACAGATCCCATGTGCTCATTTGCATTAAATAAATCAGATGCATACAACAAAGGACAGACCCTGCACGTCTCCATGCCTGGCTCCCAGCCTGACTCCCATAGTTTAAGGTGCTGCTGGCAGCGTACCGGTGGGTTCACATAGCATGTGCTGACAATTAGGGCTGCTCATAGCAGACACAACTGAAAGGGTTTGTGTCTTACTCCACATTGTTTCCAGGCCAGCCAGGCCACACTGGATCATTATCCTGCTTCCAGGTTTTGTCCCCACTTCTGAGAGTGATGCAGGAGCCACATCCTACAGAAGAGGTTGCTGTGTACCTGTATTCTTTGTGGCTGTTCAACACAGACAAAAGTATGCCTCATGGTTATCCAAGAATTAAATCTTGGAATAGGCTGCCTCGTTGAGTTAATTTATAAGAATGGGAAAGTTTCTGTGTTCTCTAGCAGTAAATAGTTTGCTATAGCACACTGATTCTTTGAGACTTTCCAACACACAATTGTGCACTGATATAATGAAAATGCTGCATATTATTGTGTGTACTTCTTTTTCCAAATTAGAAATAGTTTATTGGTTTTCAATTTAAATGTATTCCTAATCAATTTTAGATACACTGAAGTAGTCCTGGTTGGAACTAACATAAAAGTGTGTATGTGGTTTTTTGCACCAGTCTTATTTACACTCATTAAAAAAAAAATCATACCTCAGATGCTTCTGATTAATGTAGGCAATATGTAAGGCATCATGATCCTTTTCAAACTACAGATGGAGTTCTCATGGCTTCATGACTTGAACAAAAGAAGGACTTCTGAGAATTGTCACTCCTGAATACTTAATATACACAGTTGATATAATAGTAAATAAACTCCTGCCAATATTATGGCAGTTCTGCCATAGGAAAGTAATAATTGCACACTTGACAGAATGGGCTTATTCTTTATGGAAGCAAAAGTTACTTGATTTTTCTTCTTTCTCCAGAAATTTGAAAGGGACTTTATCCAAGGAAATGCCAATCTTCTGTATTCATCAGCACAAAAAAAGGATTTTTCTCCAGTGAATAATAATCTACCTTTAAGAAGAGTGTTTGTGTTACAGTGTTGCCCTTTATCTACCCTGATCCAGTTTTCCTTTTCAGAAAGTTGGTATCCCCACTGCCCATTATCTATGTACTACTCTTGTCCTATCGCCTTATTATGGAAAGCTTATAGATATTATCATTTATTTTCATGCCTCAGGCTCTCTGGGCATCTTTCTAGTGTCTATATAAGTGCTTTTAGGAGAAATGTACCATTTTGCTGTCTGTTATTACTACAGGATTTATTATCTTTAACTGTTTGTCAAAAGCTTAAACTGTCCCTGAGCACGAGTTTGACTTTTTAAGTTAGGCTTTGCTCTTGGCATTCTCCAAGTTTGCAGTTCATCCACGCAAGAGGAACTCCATATATTTTCCCGGCCACACACAATTGTTATGTACCATCACTCATTTTGTTTTATAGCTCCCAAAAGTGTGCCAAGTGATTTAGGGAAAAATTAGAAAGCTATGGCCTGAATTTGGCCTGAAGTGTGAGCCTGCTACAAAATGTGCAATACAGTAAGTGTTGCTGGCTTTGGAGGACTGTCTTTGGAAGCAGACTGTCTTTTGTGGCTGCACTGCCACTTCTCAGTGTGAAAACAAGTAGGTAGGGATCAGAATGGTAGCGTTATGCCTCAGCAACCTGTAAAGAGCAGGGTCTTCAACTGATCTGAATTCCCACTCTTCATCCATGTATCAGTAACATATGTCTGAATTTCTATTTAGTGTTATCTATTTAAGGATAAGTTATCAATGTTAAACTTTAAATAATCTGTAGATGTTCTTATTCAGGTTTTTAATAGCGTTATTTCAAATTAAGTGAATTCTCTTTGGACATAAAATGCATATTTAAACCTATTGCTTGTGACAGTTAATATGAAATAACTCATTGTTGCAGAAAACACTCTGCCTCAAAGAAAGGGTATATTAGAATCATAGAATCATAGAACCATAGAATAGTTAGTGTGGGAAAGGACCTTAAGATCATCTCATTCCTACCCCCCTGCCATGGGCAGGGACACCTCACACTAAACCGTGTCACCCAAGGCCTCATCCAACCTGGTCTTGAGCACTGCCAGGGATGGAGCATTCACAACCTCCCTGGGCAACCCATTCCAGTGCCTCACCACCCTAACAGGAAAGAATTTCCTCCTTATATCCAATCTAAACTTCCCCTGTTTAAGTTTGAACCCATTACCCCTTGTCCTATCACTACAGTCCCTAATGAAGAGTCCCTCTCCAGCATCCCTATAGGCCCCCTTCAGATACTGGAAGGCTGCTATGAGGTCTCCACGCAGCCTTCTCTTCTCCAGGCTGAGCAGCCCCAACTTTCTCAGCCTATCTTCATATGGGAGGTGCTCCAGTCCCCTGATCGTCCTTGTGGCCCTTCTCTGGACTTGTTCCAAGAGTTCCATGTCCTTTTTATGTTGAGGACACCAGAACTGCACACAATACTCCAGGTACATACTTCACAATACTCCAGGTATATACCTCACACTTGGATTGCTAAGACCTTTATATATTTAAGTTTGGGGAAATTTTATTCTGTTTCTAGGAAAAGTAACTGTTCTGTGTTTCTTTTTGAAAGCAGTCTAAGTTTTCTATATTTGTATTGCAGGATAAGACCAGGAATTCCTGGATGGTGGAACAATCAAATATTCCATTCATCGCCCTGTTGCTGATGGCTGTACTCTCTTGTTTGCCTTTCTTTTTCTTTTATTTAATTTTCATTCTGAAGACAAATGGCTGCTTCCTACAGATACATTAATGTGCTTTGTTTTCTGTGTTTCCCTGATTTGATTTTCTGAAGGGACTCATCTTTAATCAGTCACAGGTAAAAAATTTTCATGAGCTTGAATGACATTTCAGGACAGAAGCTCCTATTGGTGAAATCTCTTGAATTTGGGATATTACAGTAGATCAAAAGAAGAAATTCTGTCTCTTCTCTTTTTGTTATGGCAGCACACATTGCTACAAGGACCACATATTTCTGCAAGACCAAAGAGCAATTTGGTGACTAAGAGCTAAAATATAGTCTCCAAATCATGTTCCTAATTTTAACTGTCAGTGTCAGGTGCCTGTTTTCACAGTGTGCACCATGGCAGAGGCTGGAGTTTGGACTTCCATACCACTTCATTTCCTACCCAATTTTGATTTTAGTTTTTAAATAGCTCTCTATATTTTTGAGTCAACTTGAGCCCAACCACTGCTCAAACCTGTTTGGCTGTCCAATGCTGTCATGAGCCTGTACGGAAAAGTGTATCTCCTCTAATCAAGAAGAGTATCTTATCTATAGGAACAGAAGATTAATTTAGCAGCTTTTTCTGATCTGGTTTTCATTCTTTCCCATGCACTGTTAATATTTTTAAGTAAACACCAAAGCCTTAGTGTGGGGAGGGTTATTTTGCCCATAATTTTCCAACCATTTTTTTCCTGCTGGTAATTGCCCATAAAATCAGATCTGTCATTCTATTCTCAATAATTTTTTGGTATTTCAGTAACATTGAATTTTCATGGTACGTAACAGGATCCTTTTGCTGAGAACTGTCAATAAAAAAAGTCACCTGGTTTTCAATTTCAATAGATTGGGAAAAACAAAGATAGAGAGCAGGAAGGGATTTAGGTTGGGTATGTCTCAACCTCAGAGAGAGATATCTACTTCCAAAGGAAGGACTGTCATCACTGGATAGTTGTGAAAGGCAGGTGGAGTAGATAACCTTGTGCATGTCTTTCTGCTGAAACTGAAGAGGATCTTTGGTGACTATCTTAAAGCAGATACTTCAATGTTAGTAATTAAAGGGGACCCTCACTTGGTGGAAATTACTCTAAGGGAATTACTCTAATTACTCTAAACTAGACCTTAATCTCCTGATTTGTATTCAGTGTCAACATTTCAAAGCAAACCTATCTTTAAACATGCTCAGCTATTCCACCTTTCCTATTCTTTACAGTAGGTAGATATATGTATATATGTACTTTGTTTACTATATATATACACACACATTTTCTATGTATACTTTTATACAAGCTACTCTTGCTATTTTGCTTCTGGGACTGTTCTGCCAATTTGAATCGTGGTTTTCTAACATATAAGTGCTAGGCTGGAGTGGAAGAAACAGGTTTTCATCCATGACCCAAACTAACATTTGAATGTACATTTTTCAGGGGTGAAAGGCTAATTCCATAATCATCATTTTTAAGGTGGAAATCAGAGCCAGCAGAAAACTGGTTTATACTATTGTCATGATTTAAGTGCAATCAGTAGCTCTCTCACTCCCCCCCTCTTCCTCCCCCCACTTCTGGAGGGATGGGGAGGAGAATTGAAAGAATGTAACTCCCACAGGTTGAGATAAGAACAGTCCAGTAACTAAGGTATAACACAAATCACTGCTGCTACCACCAATAATAATACTGATAAGGGAAATAACAAGGGAGGAGAATACAACCTCTCGCCACCTGCCGACCGATATCCAGTCCGACCGAGCAGTGATCTAGCCCTTCCGGGTAACTGCCCCCCAGTTCTGCATCCTGGGCATGATGTGCTGTGGTATGGAATGCCTCTTTGGCTAGTTTGGGTCAGGTGTCCTGTTTCTGCTTCCTCCCGGCTTCCCCTCCTCCCTGGCAGAGCATGAGGCTCAGAAAGTCCTTGGTCAGGGTAAACATTACTGAGCAGCAATTAAAAACATCAGTGTTATCAGTGCTGTTCCCAGGCTGAAAAGTCAAAACTACAGCACTGCACCAGCTACTAAGAAGGAGAAAAATGGCTGCTACTGCTGAACCCAGGACAACTATTAAAGGGAGCTGCCACAATCCCTTGCTCATGTAGCATTAATGTAGCTGTTACCTCTGTTCTTCAGCTTGTTTTCTCAAGCAGCTGCTAGTTTTGTCACAGCCAGAAAGCCAAGATGGGCTGGGGAGGGAGCGTTGAACTGACAATATAGTGGTGTCTGTCCCATGGATTTGCCACCACACTGGGGCTAACTAACTTAATTTCTTTGTCTCCTTTGTCACATTAAAGTGAGATAAAGGAAACTTACGCACTTCTTGTGAGAGAATTGAGAGTTAGTTAATAATTTAAAATATATTGAATTTTGCTGTGGAGCTTGTTGTCTTTTGTTTAAATTAATGCAAAGCTGTCCTGGATGGCCTAAGCTGCATGGAAAACAGCCTGTAGTTCTCTGCTAATACCAGCCATAACAGATGGTTAACCATGGGTTCAATGTGAGCTGAAATTTGGAATCAAGGTATAATTGGCTTTAGTGAGTCAAATGACTTCACACATTAAATGCAGCTTTTTTTTATAAAAGAGGGAGTCAAGTTTCTTTCTTCACTACCAGTTTCCACCAGTGTTATCCCAAACAGTATGAACTGCACTGTCTTGAGCTCTGTCACAGTGCCAAAGTATCAGCTGAGATATATCACTTGAGATCAGTCAGGTGGCAGTCACAACATGCACAAGACACAGAGTTACAGCTGCCTTTTTCCCAGAGGAGCAGAAGTCTGGTTCTGTCTCTTCTAGCCAGCTCCTGATTTTCACAAAGCTTCTAGAGTAACCTCAAAGCTTGAGGCCAAGCCATGACTCAAATTTGGTGGAATTTAACAGACGTTTAAAATTGTTGGGAGAAACTAACAGAAGGACAGATGTGTTAATAGAAGGCCTGGTTATCCTCAGTCCCATTTCCACAGGGACCTTAGGTTACAGTGGCCCATTTCCTAGGGCGCTTCAATCTAAAACTACATGGTGTTGTACCCACTTGGTTCTTGTATGCCAAGGAAATAAGGACTGGGACTGGAGCTGGAAAGCAATGGACTCATGGGACTAAAAAGCTAGGTAGACTTGGTGATTGCTTGATTAGAATAGGTAATTTTCTGATAACCATCATCATGTGAACCACATCATGTGCTTAGCTGGATTTGTTTTTCCACTGTAACCTGTGATTTAGAGGCAGCAGTCTGGCCTTTTCACTTGGATAGCTAGCAGGAGTACCAGTGAGTCAACAATGGTTGAGGGTGTGGTGCCATTTGGTGGCAATGTAAGGTGGATTATGTCTCTCAGGGGTGAGGAACAGCACAGTAGATCATGGTGTAAATTGGAACTTCTTGTCTGGATCCATTGCCTTGCCTGAATACACAAGTTGATCCACTGAATTATCAACCACCCTGAGTATAGCTGCTGTTTGGGGGTAATGCATTTAGAGCGACCTGTCTCTTTTCAGTGACAGTCAACATGAATTCTAAACACCACTTCAATTAGTGTAAGAGTGTTTAAGAGAGAAACATCATTGTAGTACCTGAATGTGATGGTCTTCATTCCATGTGAGTTTCATCTATTAAACTCTTTGAAGTGAGGTGTGTTTTTATGGGTATTAAATCAACCACTGCACTAGACTTTTCTACTTAATGTTGAAATTATGCATCTAGTTTAGGATTTTAGTTTAGTGTCAGTTTCAGAAAGGGTTCAAAAGAATCTTCAACTACTTTGTTGTGCAGTAATAATCATGCTTTTCTTCTGGCACTCTCCTAGCACAAAGGACAAAATCATATCAGAGGACAAAGTTATATTTATGGTAAATGTTAACCATTCATGCATAGACTAGAATTCATTAACTGGACAAAATGCCTGGAGGTATACTTGTGGAAATGGTTCAGAATTGTTTTTTTAACTCAGTATGATTATTAACTCAAACATTAAGAAATTAAATACTGCCAGACTTTGTTTTGCTGACATGAGGAAGTGACTGGAAGCAGAATGTCAAATGAAGAATTCAGGAAGCAATTTGGAACACGCTGTGGTGGCACTATGTTTAAACCTGACATAGAGGAAAGAAGTAAGCTTATCTAGTTACATGCTGTTACATGCACTTGCTCTTTCAGTCTTCCACTTGGACTTTAGTTTTGCCTTGAAAAATACATCCCAACAGCGATGGCCAGGCTAAGTGGCAGAAAGTGAGCAAAGAGGAATTACCATTTGATCTCAGAGAAGTGATGTAAATGTAAGCAAAGTGCTGTTTCTGTCTTCAGCAGGTTTCTGACCTGCTTCTTCCCTGTTAGTGAGGTCAGCAGTGAGCTGCCAGAGGGGATGTGTGTTGGGGAGTGCAACTGATGATAAATAGAATGTTTTCATACACAAATATTTATGTGGCATTCCCACAAATTGCAAAGGAAGGTTCATTTTAGATTAAATTGTATTTCAGTGGAATACAAATCTGAAAAGGTGTTGTGAGACTTCAGTGGAATAACTGATATAAAAAAGTGAAGTTTTTGTCTGATCAGGAGGCAAGGGAGTTTTATCACATTAAATCTATATGTTTTCATGAATGGCTGAAGACACATTTATTCCTCCATCAGTTTCAAAGCCTACTGCAGACGGGCACTGGTTACTGTGCTATTAATTATTAAATGATACTATAGTATCCCTAATGGGCTCGAACCATCACCAGAAATGTTTTAGCTTCATTTTTGCCCATGCTAATAAGTCTCACCTGCCTTATAGCATGCTAAAACTTTAATGTTTTACTTTCTGATGACTCTAGAAGCAGCAAAACTTATTTTGGTAACATAATGGTAGATATATATATATACAGTTTTGATCTGTATTACATTTTCAAGTGCCATTATCCCAAATCCATTAAGTGCTTACAATAGATGAGCTGAAAACATGACTATCAGAATAATAAAGAGGTGCCATATTTCTGTGTCTCAGTGACTCAGCAGCAGCCTCTGCTGAGTTCACAAACAAATTTGAATTTTTAGTCCTGCCAACTCAGTTTCATCTCTGATGGTCAACTGGGCTCTTGACTGCTCAATGGTCACCATCCCTAATAAAGAAAACCCTTTGAAATGAACACCACCGTGTTGCATTCTTTTTATTGCCTATAGAATTGCTCTGAGAGCCTCCTATCTGTCTTCTCTGCGAAGATACTTCTAAATGGATTGTGAGACTTTGGCCAGCAAGGACAAATCTCACCTTGATTTTCAGAACCCCTGTTGGAAAAATAGGGTTTGCAGTTAAAAATCCCCATAGTTTTAAAATTCAGAACTAAGCAAGTTGATACTGCAGCCAGTGAAAGAGTAAATTCAGAACTCCAATCACCTGGCAGGTTTCTGTAATACTTCAGTTGGTTTAGCACTGGTTCTAATGCAGAAAATCAGTGTTTACATTTGAATATGCTTTACTTTGACCATGTGGCTGAATACCTGAGCAAGAGGTAAGTGGAAATCTTGGTAGTGATGTGAATCCTTCAGAGCAGAGACATGAGCTCCAATGAGCAATTTTTTGCTCTAAATGAGCAAATTCATGAGGCTGTTTAATGGCACACTCCAAATTACATGTTCTGGATTGCTCTTTTGTATGCATTTTAGTATGCTAAAACGGTGATTTGTTTTAAATAAGCAAATTACCTTTAGGCAGGAGATCAGTATTGTTAATAGCAGAATTTATGCAATTCCTCTACATAATCACACATGTTTTCCCAGACTGATGCACTTACATGCAGTCTGTATAATAAAGCACATCCCCTATCTCCTAGCTGCAGAGATTATACAGTAGCTGGTTCAGAAGAAAAATGTTTCTTC